AATTATTATTTTTTAAAATATATTAAAATAATATTTTTTTATTTTATTAAAATTATTTTTGATATTAGTATATCAAAATGATATAAAAACATTAAGAAAATATTACTTTGAAATAAAAAAATAAAAAATTTATATTTTTTTAAAAATATTTTTAAAACGCAAAAACAAACAGGCTCAAAACTTATATATGTTAAAAAATGGGCTTGAAGACCCACGTGTTTGGACTTTTCCTTTCAAAGGCTGATGTAGCTTGTCCATATGAGCTCTTTTTTTAAAAATATTTTTTATATTTATGTTAATTTTTTTTTAAAAAATTATTGAACTTGATTGAGTTCATAACCCGAATAATATGTTTAATAGGTTAAGTCATAACATTTAGATTATTATTTTTTTTTGTTTAATGCATTGTCTATTTAAAAAAAATATAAATTCATCCTTTGTTATTGATGATTAATTTTTTATTTAACTTAAAAAATACAATTTCATTATTTATTTTCAATGATTTACTTTTTGCTATTGTAGTCACACATTACTATCTTATTATATAATTAAATAAAAAATAATTTCTAGAATAAATTTTTTTTATTGCATCTGATAATATGTATAATTTGCGTTGTAAATTCGGTTTGTTAACTTAAGTTTAATTATTTATTTTTTTAATTGAAAATTTTTATTGATTTTATCCTTAAATAATATTAAGTTAATTGAGCTTTTTAATTTTTTTTTTAATTTTTATAAATTAATTGATCCGGTGAACCTAATATGTTTCTGTGTATCGCCAAGTACACAGATGATACCGAATTCTCACTTTAAAAAAGAAACATGCTAGAGATGCCTAGTTATATTAATCTTGATTTTTTTTTTTTTAAAATTTTTTTTTTTTTTTATATTTTTTTCCCTTTTTTTTTTTTTTTTGGCGTTTAAGGCTCAAAACTTATATATGTTAAAAAATGAGCTTGAAGACCCACGTGTTTGGGCTTTTCCTTTCAAAGGCTGATGTAGCTCGTCCATATGAGCTCTTTTTTTTGTTAAATATTTTTTTTATTTATGTTAATTTTTTTAAAAAAATTATTGAACTTGATTGAGTTCATAACCCAAATAATATGTTTAATAGGTTAAGTCATAACATTTAGATTATTATTTTTTTTGTTTAATGCATTGTCTATTTTAAAAAAATATAAATTCATCATTTGTTATTGATAATTAATTTTTTATTTAACTTAAAAAATATAATTTCATTATTTATTTTCAATGATTTACTTTTTGCTATTGTAGTCACACATTACTATCTTATTATATAATTAAATAAAAAATAATTTCTAGAATAAATTTTTTTTATTGCATCTGATAATATGTATAATTTGCGTTGTAAATTTGGTTTGTTAACTTAAGTTTAATTATTTATTTTTTTAATTGAGAATTTTTATTGATTTTATCCTTAAATAATATTAAGTTAATTAATTATTGAGCTTTTTTTTTTAATTTTTATAAATTAATTGATCCGGTGAACCTAATATGTTTCTGTGTATCGCCAAGTACACAGATGATACCGAATTCTCACTTTAAAAAAGAAACATGCTAGAGATGCCTAGTTATATTAATCTTGATAAACCTAATATTTTTTTTCCTTTTTTTTTTTTTTGGCGTTTCAAAAATTTTCTAACTTTACAGCGCAGCCCAATGTACTGCTTAGATTCTATTTCCTAAAAGATGATCGAATTTGATGCCTCTGTTCAAAAGAAAAAAAAAAGAAGGAAAGTTACGTGCAGCCCAGTTGTGAGGGCAAAAGCGTAACGTCAAGTATCCCGCCTCTGAACGCATTTCAAAATTTGAGCACCCTGCTTCCCTAATCAATGAGGCAAGACACTAAGCCCTAATCTTTCGTAGCCTTTCCAAGGCAACAAACACGAAACCCTTTCTCATTTCTCTCTCCAGAATCTGTCATCTGGGTTTTATTGAAGTGTCATTTTCTCAGAAGGAAGCTCATCTGGGTCTAACTTTGTTCTTTTATTTGTTAATTGCTTATTATTGTTGTCTCTTTAGAATCCTGTTCTTTCTTTAAAATCAGTGATTGGGGTGATAAGAAAATGTTATTTTCTCAATGGGTAGAGGATATTTTATGTTTCGTAAAAGAAATTGAATCTGGGTCTGAATGATGAGAAAATGGGGAGTTTCCCCTGAAAATGTGATGAGATCTCTGTTTTTGTTTTTAATTTTAGCTTCATTTGGGGTGCGAGAAACCCTAATTTTCCTGGAAAGTTTCGTTTTTTTTGAAATGATTAAAGTTACAATATCTTGTTTCATTATTCTCTAGTTGCATTCTGACAAAACCCTCATTTCGCGGAAATTTTACTTTTTTCTTTCCGGGGTTCTCATTTTATAATATGAGATCTCTGTTTTCTTCAGTTTCTCTATTGTGAATTAGACTTGTTCAATCTTCTAATTATTAATTAATGTAACAGAATCTTGGTTAATTCTCTCAGATAAAAATGACGGAATCAAGAGATAGACTGTCAAGGGCAGTAGACATAGCAGCAATCTTTGCTGCGAGGAGACAATCAAGGAATCTTGGTATCTATCAAGACCGGCCAGAGCTTGACATGGCGCTGTTTGGTTCTCCTAGAACAAACACAGCAATAAGAAATCAAACAGTGGGCGTGGGTACCATTACTGGGCACGGAAGAGGTAGATTGGGCACTCCAAGGAGTCGAGGAGGCCGGACTCCATTGGACAGAGAAAATATGCCTCCCCCTGGGAGTGCCCGGAGAAGAAGGGGTCGTGGATCAAATAGCGTGTTACCTTCCTGGTACCCCAGAACCCCTCTTCGTGATATCACTGCTGTTGTGAGGGTAATGATTGTTTTCTTCTTTTTACGTTTTGTTGTAGAACATTTAATGTTTGATATAGGATTACCGTCATTTGATAATCCTTGGCGCTTTGATTAATGTTCTGCTTTGTTGATTATAAATTGATTGCTTGGTTATGTGTAATTATAAGATTCTTCCTAATTGTGTGTTTTTTTTTTGGGGATTATTATAGGGTTCTAATGATGGGTTAATCGGGTTCTCAGTAGATAATTGGATTTTACTTGTTTAATGTATGGGGTTATTGTATTTTGTGATAAACTAACTTTAGAATAATTTTCTGGCTACCTGCCTAGTGTTTGATTCTATGTAATATTATTATATGCTTTCATGAAGTTGAAATTTGATGAAACCATGTTCTATGCAAGAAATGCTGGAAGATATTTTTTGTTGGAATCCCTTGAAAATAGCTAATGGCACGATGTTTCATCTATTACATCTAAAGTCATTGCCTATCTCTAAGACTCAAGCATTTTTTTTGTTTTGTTATAGTAGTCTAATTTCCCTTTCATCTGCATTTTGCGACCAACATATTCAGTAAAAGTTGATTTATTTATCGCGTGTTGAGGAGAACAGACTGCTTTGATGAACTTCTGCAATTTCTACATGTTTTCATTTCAATCCTTGCATAGTGGAGTGTGAAAGGTTTGATGATGAGTTTGTGGGTGTGGCTGTGCTTCATTCTCTAAATTGCCCCATCAATGAGGGGGTGTGTGCTGATTTCAAGTCCGTGTCCTAAGTTTATAGATCAATCCCCATGAGTGTCCTGTCAAATTGGTCAAAGAGAGCAGAATTTTTTTAGTATTGGCAAGACGTCCCTGGTGTCCAACTCGATCACCCATGTCATATGGGTTGTCAAATAACCTTTGCTACACTGCCTTGTTGGCAAAAGCCAACACATTATCCATTCTCTCAGCTTTCAACCTTGTGAAAACCTTCATTGCCCCATAATTGTTCTAGTAAGGTGGAAATGTTACTTAAATGGACATGGTTTTCAGTTTTGCGTACTTTCCCGTTCAACTTATTTTGGAGAAATTCTTTGTTTAGGCAATTGAAAGAAGGGGACGCTTGGGACGAAGTGATGGTCGAGAAATCGGGAGCCCAATGCCACAAGGCCGAATGGATCCTGAATTTTCTGAGGCAACACCAGTTGCTCATCTGGAGCCCAGTAACAGGATTATGTCCCCCAAACCAACTCCTGCATTCAAGGGCTGTCCTTCCACCATTGGTAAAGTGCCAAAAATTTTACAGCATATCACAAACCAAGCCTCTGGAGATCCAGAATCTCTAACACCTCAGAAGAAACTCCTAAACTCAATTGACACGGTTGAGAAGGTAGTGATGGAGGAGTTGCAAAAACTGAAGAGGACTCCAAGTGCTAAGAAGGCCGAGAGAGAGAAAAGAGTGCGAACTCTTATGTCAATGCGGTAATTGATCATCTTCTGGTGATAGGTCCACAATATTCTACGGTAAACAAAACAGCAGGAAGACAGTCACTCTCTTTAGTGACATCCTGTGCAGTGAGATTGATCATCCTCTGGTGATATCCCTGTGCTTTGAGATTGATCATCTTCTGGTGATATCTTTTCAGAGTCTTGGAACTTTTAGTGGCAGGGGGCTCTTAGATTTCAATTTGCCAGTGCAACATTGCTGCTGGGCAATCTTGTACCCTTGTTCCCTTCATTCTCATGAAGATTTTATTGATCCTTCATTCTTTTGAAGGTGTGTAGGATAGACAAGTGCTACGTATTGTTTTGACTGATGTACATAGGATACAAAATCAGGTAAAGTACTTCTGTCTTTTGCGTATGATCTATTGCTTCCTAGTGTGATAATGAAATAATAGATCTGAACCAGTTGAATTTGATCTGATTATGGTAATCTGTAGATGGATAAAGTACACTTCCTTTTTTCTTTTTTTTTTTTGAAGTACACTTCCTTTGATCTGCCTCGTGCTAGTTTCATGTTGTGTGATGCTCATCAATGTGCTCCTTCTTGGGTCATTTTTTTTTTTTTAAATTAACATTGGTGTCTAGGTCAGCTTGCGCGCACCACGACTAATCCCACAGGCCCTGAAGTTAACGACCATGTAAACCTCCAGTGGCCATCATATGAGCAATCAAGGACTCGAACCTGAGACCACAGAGGGAGCAAACCCCTTGATCTCAAGTCCTTACCACTTAGCCACCACCTAGATGGTTTTCTTGAGCCATTCTTAACTAACCCTAATGGGAATCATATTTGTTGAATCCATCCATGCAAAGTTGATTTGAAAAACCCGAAATTCAAAACAACAGTAGAGTTTCAGCTGAACCAATCAAGATATTTACTTGATAAAATTAGATTGATTTGTCCCAGTAATTAGAGATTTAGTTGATATGGTTTAAACTTGGCTAGATCAACAAATAAAAAAAAAACACTTTTATTCTTTTCAAATTATTATTGAAAAGAAAATTAGATTATTAATTAAAACAGTGGTATTGTTATCAAAGTTTTAATATGTTTACAGCATCTTTCTTATTTTTTTCCTCTCTTTATTGATTTTTCGGTCTAATAATTTTGTAATTTAAAAAAGTTTTAAATAACACTTGGAACCTACAGTTCTTAAATGTTATTTATGAATTTTTAAATTGTATTAATTTTTTAAATATTTTTTTTACCATGTTATTTTATCATTTTTTTATTATGGTAGAGTCCTAAAAAACTCAAATAACTTGAATCCACATTCTCTTTTTAATTGAGATTGTTTTTCAATTTATCTTTATAATTTAATTTGATTTATTTTGAGTAAAATTTATTTCTTATTCTTTTTAAATCTATATTTTTCTTATTTTTTTTTGAAGTTCATCCCTAATATTTTAGTTGATGAGGAATTTTACATTTATTATTTTTTTGAATTTGCTTTTTATATTATAATTCAGCTTAATGATTCATATCACAAGTTATGAATATTGAATATGGTTGAATTCAATTATTTTTTTAGTTTCATTCATCATCTGCAGGTTTGTTGAAAATTGGTATTTGTTATTATTTTTTTGTTAATAAAGCTATTTTAATATTATGTTTCAAGTTATAAACTCAACGTATTTATCAGGTTTAACTTGAGTGTTTTTTCATTTCTTTTTATTAATATTATGTTTCAAGTTATAAACTCAAGTGTTTTTTCATTTCTTTTTATAGTGTTTTTTCATTTCTTTTTATTTTTTTATCTCAAGTAAATAACTAAAATCTTATGTTTTTATTTTAAAAATATTTATATCTTTTCTACAATAAAATAAAAAAAACTTTGCGCTTGCTGGCTATATAGGATATACTTATATCATTTGGGCCTCACAAAGCATTTAGCATGACTATTGTCCCAGGTTAGGTTTTGAAAATATATATACTTATATACTGGCATTTAGCATCAACTGCTTGCACAATCATCCTAGAAGGTTAACAAATGACCCAAGTTAGGTTTTTTTCCTTTCGAATATATATATATATATATATAATGGATTGATTTCCGTGTTTTAATTTGAGCATGTGGCAATGTCTCTGGCCATTATTAGTTTCTTTTGAAGAGTGAAAATTAAGGGTTAATAAAACTAAGTCAGAGGGACAGTAACATATATAGAAGGTCTCAAATAATTGAAAATATATTAGATGGATTGAATTTGCTTCTCTTCATCAATAAATAATTGAGAAGTACATATAAGACAAAAAAAAAGAGACTACATAGTTTATAATTTCTGAAGAATCACGTTAACCTGATCTCATTGGTGTAAATATTATATTAAGAACCAAGCAATATTATTGGTACTTTATCTGCTGTTTAATTAACCAATATTCCATTATGGCCTTGGCAAATTAATCTGGTTGAGGAAATCCATAATGCTAGTACGGAGTTCACTAAACACTGTTAGTCAATGGCTTTGAAGTGTGTTTAATGCACGTGAACATGTGCTGCTCCTGCATCTAAGCATTCTTACAATTAATTTAAGTTTATCTTTTTAATAATAAAAGTTTAACAGTTTGAGATGGGGTTCATGTGGAATTACTCGCTAATTTGATCAATCTAAATGAAAGATTAGTTACCTAGCAGTCGCTCAAAACCCTGCAAGACATATATATTTTCCCACGCCTGCACTCTTAAGCACTACCCTTCCTTTTGTGTTATGCTATAAAACTTGCTGATCATGGCCCCTGGTGATCATAGTTTTGCATATCAATGCTGCCTCTGCATCACTTGGAGCACCATCATTGTCATTGTGGTGCAACTCTTCATCAAAACATGCACCAGCTTTTGCGCCAAGACTCGCCACCCACCAAGTCCTCTAGGCTTACCCATTATTGGTCACCTTCACCTTTTAAGTTCGGATTTACCAAACTCCCTCAAAACACTTGCTAGCAGATATGGCCCTCTCATGAAAATACGTTTTGGATCAACACCAATTTATGTTGTATCCGATGCCATGACAGCCAAGGAGATTTTGAAAATCCATGATGTTGATTTCGCCTCTAAGTATACACTCGGTTTTGGTCTCTCCAAATTTGACATTTATGATGGATATACTTTCTTCAATGCCCCGTATGGCACATATTGGCGGTTTATGAAGAGGCTATGCATGACCAAACTATTCCGTGGCCCTCAGCTTGATCGATTCGTTCACATCCGGGAGCAAGAGACATTGAAGCTTTTGAAATCACTGGTTGATAAATCAAGAGAAGGGAAGCCATGCGATTTAGGTGAAGAGCTATCGGTCTTCTCGAGTAATATAATTTGTAGGATGGTAATTGGCAATATATGCGTGGAAGACCCTAATTTACCTATAGAAATAAGGAAGCTGGTAGGAGATATAATGGAGAATGCAGCAAAGTTCAGTTTCAATGAGGTTTTTGGTCCCTTAAACAGATTTGACCTTTTAGGAAAAGGGAAAAGGCTTGTATCAGCGACTAGGAAGTATGACAACCTACTGGAGCAACTGATGAAGAAATATGAAGACAATTTTGATATGTTGATCAACAGTGGTGACGAAGAACAGAAAGATGTGATGATCATCTTAATGCAGGCATATAAAGACACAAATTCTGAGTTGAAGATAACACGGATGCATATAAAAAAGTTCTTCCTAGTGAGTTCTTAATTTACTTTCAGCACACACACACACACACACATACATATAATGGTTTTATTGCACTCTGCTGAATGCCTAAATCTATTTTCTTTCCTGAAATTTTAAATATTTCTTAAGATTTTTTTTCATGAGAATTGTGATTTTATTAAAGATGCTAGTGCCATTGAAATAATGATAAAACTAGCAGATAATAAAAATAAGATTTATAAGGACAAAATTCCAAATAAGAGATGTATGCGACCAGAAGATATTTTTTCAAATGTTAATTAGAAATAATCTCTCGCGCAAAGAAAAATATTTCAGATATTAACTAAATTCATGATTTTCTGAGATTTTATACTATTGATAATTAAATTTTAATTAAATAATAATTAATATTAAAATTTAGATTTAAATATGTAATATATAGTTTTTTTATTCCAAAAATTCGTCTCTCACTCAATAATTTAAATAAATACTGAAATTCTGTGTCAAGATTTTGGATTACAATCAACAAATTTTTTCTCTAAAGTTTAGAAATTCTAAAATAATTAGAGATAAATACGTAACCAATCAAAGATGTATTGCCTATGTATTGCAAAAAGTTACCATTATATTGCTGTCATGAACTTAATTATTTCTCGCTGCACAGGAAATATTTTTTGCGGGCGTGGAAACTACTGCAACGGCCATGCAATCTGCCATTACAGAGTTAATAAACAATCGCAAAGCATTCATGAAGCTGAGGGAGGAGATTCACTCGGTTTTTGGTTCTAACTATAGGCTACTCAAAGAATCAGACATCCCAAAGCTTCCTTTCTTACAGGCAGTTGTGAAGGAAACCCTCAGGTTAAACCCTATAGCAACCTTGCGGGCAAGGCAATGCGACGTCGATACTACGATCAATGGCTATGACATTAAAGCTGGCACTAGAATCCTCATCAACGCCTATGCCATAATGCGAGACTCAGATTCTTGGGAGAAGCCACATGACTTCTTTCCAGAGAGGTTCTTGGCCGATTCGATGGACACCAATTTTGATCATCATCCAACAATGGACGTTAAGGGAGATCATGATTTTCATTTCCTTCCATTCGGCAGTGGAAGGAGAGCATGCATTGCTGCTTCTCATGGCTTGATTGTCACGCACGCAATGATAGGAGCCCTAGTACAATGCTTTGATTGGGAAGTGAAAGATGATGCTAAGATTGATAACGAATTGGCGACAGGTTATTCAGGATCAAGGGTGTTGCCTCTTGCGTGCTATCCCATCACACGTTTTGATCCCACGAATGCTTAATGCTAGGTATTGAAACTTTGTGATTTTGCTTATTTGTCTTTCGCATGTTCGTTTGATTTGTGGAAAATCCTTAAACTTACTCCTCTATTTATATCAATTCGGTATGTAAACTTTCTAAGAAAATGTGGTCAACATTTGCTGGTTTGCTTTATGTGTGCAAAATTTAGACAATTTAACCAAATGGGACTAAATTGCATTAAATTGTAAGAAGACTATTAATTGAAGATTTTGAAAATACTTAAGAAATAAAAAAACAAGATTTTTCGAACAGAATGACAAAAAGAAGAATTCCTGAATTGTTTTTCTTGAGAAGTATTTAGAATTTTAATGGCCAAGGATTCTAGAAATATTTTAAATTTTTTCAAAAAGATTTATTATTTTCTATTTCTTAATTTTTTTGCGAGTTATTATTTTTGAAATATTTTTATTATTTTCAATTTTTTATTTTTATTTTTTGATTCCTGTATTAGCCAGTTACATCACATTGAACTGGTCCAAATTATTACAAACAAGCACATCTTTAATCTCCATCTTAATTACACGAGTTCACAATCTATTAATCCAACATTGATCAACTATGGCTGATATGCAAGATTTCGCAATACCATTCGTTATCTTCCTAGCATCCACCTTTCTGGTGCAAACCATCTCGGCCAAAATCGGCGGCAAGGCTGGCCTCCCGCCAAGCCCTAGAGCCCTCCCAATCATTGGACAATATATGCACCTCCTTCGTCCTATCCCCAACCAAGCTTTCCACAAGCTCTCAACCCGCTATGGACCTTTAGTTTACTTCTTCATTGGCTGAGAACCTTGTCTTCTTCCTTCTACCCGCGAAGTTGCTAAAGAAATTCTCAAAATCAATGAAGCTAATTTCTTGAACCGTCCTTGATTACCTTACATATGGTTCGGCTGACTTTGCTACCATATATTATGGAACCCATTGGAAGTTCATGAAGAAACTTTGCATGACTGAATTTCTAGGGAGTAGAACATTAGACCAGTTCCTTCCTATTAGATGTGAGGAGAGAAACCGGTTCTTGAAGTTAGTGTTAAAGAAAGCTGAGGCTAAAGAGGCAGTTGATGTTGGACGAGAGTTGATTAGGTTGACAAATAACATTATATCAAGAATGTTATTAAGAATAAGGTGTTCTGATAATGAAAATGAAGCTGATGAGGTATGGAAGTTAGTGAAAGAGTTAAATACGCTAGATGCCAAGTTTAATATTTGAGATTCAATTTGGTTCTGCAAGAACTGGGATTTGCAGGGTTGTGAGAAAAGGCTTAAGGATGCTCGGGACCGGTACGGTGCCATGATGGAAAGGATCATGAAGGAGACACGTGATGAAGATGTTACTATGAAGGATTTGCTTGATATTTTTACTGGATATATATGAAGATAAGAATGCAGAGAAGAGATTAACCAGAGGAAAAATTAAGGCGTTCATCATGGTATGTGGCCTGATCGATGCAAACCTCTGCAAACACAATATCAAATCAAAATAATTTATTTGATCCTAAAAATGAATAGAAGAAATCGTTTCACTAATATTTCTTAAAATTTCCTGATATGTTTAGAAATCAAACATTAAAACGAATACGAAGGAGCATATAGTCTCATACACCAGGTAGAGGAGATTCCTTTCAAAAGATTCAATTCTGTTTAAAATTAATAAACTTGAACTCATTCTGTCCTTTACATGAAATCATTGATTTTCCTTCAGATTGTTTATGCTTAAATCTTAAGAGAAACCGCGTATCTTTCAGAATTTTGTTGGGGACTTATCTGGAAAACAAACAGGGTTAGAGTTCAAAGTGCGTAAAATTTCTTTATGACAGAAAAAAATGATTGTGATGCGATTAACATACTGATGAACGGTGAACTACATTGTGACATGTAAGTTTTGTATTGTTCAGAACATATTTGGTGCTGGGACAGACACATCTACCATTACAGTAGAATGGGGACTAGCAGAGCTCATCAACCACCCATTATGATGGAGAAAGCAAGACAGAAAATTGACTCTGTTGTGGGAAGGAGCAGGCTAGTACAAGAATCAGATATAGCAAATCTTCCATACCTGCAGGCTATAGTAAAAGAAACACTAAGGCTCCACCCCACTGGTCCATTGATAGTCAGAGAATCATTAGAAGACTGTACCATTGCTGGATACAAAATTCCAGCAAACACCAGACTGTTTGTTAATATTTGGTCACTTGGAAGGGATCCAAATCACTGGGAAACCCACTTGATTTTAGGCCACAGAGATTTACTGGTGAAGACTGGAGTGAAAATAGTAACATGATGGATGTGAGACGGCAGCATTTTCATCTATTACCGTTTGGGACTGGAAGAATAAGCTGTCCTGGAGCTTCATTTGCACTACAGTTTGTTCCAACAACTCTTGCTGCTTTGATCCAGTGCTTTGAGTGGAAGGTGGGCGATGGGGGGAGTGTGGTACTGTTGACATGGATGAGGGACCTGGACTAACCCTTCCTAAGGCTCATTCCCTCGTTTGCATCCCAGTGTCCAGGCCCTGTCCATTTTTAGCAGCGTGATTATAGATGTTGAAACAACTATGATCTTTGTTCATGAATTGTACAGTCCTTTTGGCCACCAGGAAATGATGATGCACGCCATATACAAGGACTGATTGTTTTCATGCGTGAAGGTTAGTGTTCTTTCGGTAGTACTCGTCTCACTTAGAGTTGCATCAATATTTATGAATCTAGTCCAAGCTGCAGCTGAAATTTGTGGGGGCCAAATTTAGGACTCGTTTACAGCTAATCTGGTTGTTTTTTATGCTAAATTGATTCCTGTTGAAGTCATCAAGGCCGCAGAAAAAAGTGGTTGTCTAGTCACAAACAACTGAAGATTGCCAAGCTGCTGATTGATCGTGATAATGAATTTAAAATGGTGAATTAATAAATTGACTGAAGCATGTAAATGAATTTAAAGAAGAAAAGATCCATTAATTTTCAAACCATCTTCTTATAAGTTATCATCACTAGCTTCGAAAGGTTAAGAAACGTTAATCCAACATTATTTAACTGGGCAGATAATTTCCCTTTAAAAATGAAAGCTTTTCTAGATCCATGTTTGAAGAATTATATATGACAAGCAAGAATCAACTGGGGGAAGTATTCAAATTCATATAATATGCAGATATTTTAGTTGTAACTATAAAAGTTCCCCTAAGTTGCTCGAATTAAAAAAAAATTTGAACCAATAAAAAAGAAAAGTCCATGTAGAAATTATTTGCTTTTCATATTAAACTTATATTAAACTTAATTTAGTAGCTCAATTCACTTAACTTTTATCGAACCCGGGTTTAAAATTAAATTATATTATTTTTATTTTGATGTGATTTCATATTAAACTTATATTAAACTTAATTTAGCAGCTCAATTCACTTAACTTTTATCGAAGCCGGGTTTAAAATTAATTTATATTATTTTTATTTTGATGTGATTCAATTAATTTAATATATTTTAAAACAACTTGAAAAAATAATAAAAAATATAGTTTGATTTTAAAAAATAATTTAAATTATCTTTTTTTTCTTAATATTGAAAGGGCTACATACTAAATTAACAAGAGTTTCATGATTTAATATGCTAAATCCATAATCTAGATTATAAATTTTATTAAATTTAAAAACTTTATTTTTAAAATTATTTTTACTTAATTATATATTAATAAAAATAGTTGTTTATAAAATTAAATATCGGGATGCTTATTTGATACTATAATAGCCTTTTAAAAAACATACCAAAATAATTTATGAATATAAATTCAAAATCATGCAAATTTAAAAAGATAAAATTAAAAAGATAATGATGAAAATGAAAACAAAAGAGGAAAATTAAAGAGGAAAAAGGAAGGAAATGAAAAAGAAGAAGAAGCCACCTTCTTTGCTAATCATAATGAATAAATGAGAAGAAGTATTGTATATTCATATGGCAACCTTAGAAGGATGATAGTTGCTCATAAAGGAGAGTGGAGTAAAAAAGCACCACCTGGGCGCTCGATATTAAAGTCTAGAGCCATAATGCCAAGGTGACTCACTTTGGTGTGAAGTGTGAACTTGCTCAACAGTAAAGAGAAACAGTGGAAGTATACACTCCCAAGCAAGGAAGTCTAACGATAGTTCAGGTCCAAGAAGATGAACAGCTAGGTTAGAGTCACAAATTCCAGCATGTTTAGCACCAGTCATGAGGAAGAAGAACTTGGTATAACCAAAAGAAAAATTGGAACAGCCATAACTTCCGAGAACTATGATCTGTATGTTATGTAATATTAACATCTTGTCTCAATTAAAAACAGCAAAATAATGAATAAAAGAATTTGCTAAAAGTCATTGGATAATTCTAATACTTCACGCTCAAGACAGTGATGTAATGCTTGTTTGATGTTCGCTTTCAAATTTATTGAACTTGGCCTGCAATGAAAACCTGGATGTGGGTCATATTTGAACATGTCTCAAATATGTTTGGATCTTACGTTGAGGTAACTGGTCAGGTTCAGTTTTGACCTGGCCAGCCGCTAGCTTGCAGGAAAGACCAAAAGCTACTGTCCAAAACTTTGAAAAGACATCTTACAACTGAAATAAATCATAAACATTAGTATCCAAACAGGTTGGAACAAAGACTAAAATTAAAGTATTATGCGGCAGTCGTTATCTAACAACTAGAGTAGCAATGTTGGCCTAAACTGGGTAATATTAATATAATTGGTGTTTGTTGTGTTAATTATAGGAAAAAAAATCTGGTTTTCTTGATGTTGTGCCGTCCTGGCAGTCCCCATCTTCCTTCCCCTGGAACCACATGAAATTTGTAGTTCAAAACACAGAAAAAGCAAAGTTTTCCTTGTATAAATAACTCTCTGAAACTTTTTAATCTCAGTTACTGTCCTAGGTTTCAAGCATGGCTGATATCCAAGGCTATATCATACTTTTCCTATTATGGCTACTCTCCACCATTTTGGTCAGAGCAGTACTAAACAAGACTCGAGCCAAACCTCGCCTTCCACCGAGCCCATTGGCCTTACCAATCATTGGACACCTCCATCTCCTTGCCCCATTACCTCACCAAGCTCTTCATAAGCTCTCAACCCGGTATGGACCATTGATTCATTTATTCCTTGGTTCTGTCCCTTGTGTTGTTGCTTCTACACCCGAGACTGCGAAAGAGTTCCTCAAAACTCATGAAAATTCTTTCTGCGATCGTCCTAAGTCAGCCGCAGTCGATTTTCTAACATATGGATCAGCTGATTTCTCATTTGCCCCTTATGGACCTTATTGGAAATTCATGAAGAAAATTTGTATGGCTGAACTTCTTGGAGGTCGAATGTTAGACCAGCTTCTTCCGGTTAGGCATGAAGAGATTAGGCAGTTTTTACAGTTCTTGCTAAAGAAAGCAAATGCAAGAGAGTCAATTGATGTTGGAAGTCAACTTATAAGGCTAACTAATAATGTTATATCGAGAATGGCAATGAGCCAAAGGTGTTCAGATAATGATGATGAAGCAGATGAGGTCAGGAATTTGGTGCATGAGGTAGCTGAGCTTACAGGGAAGTTTAATCTGTCAGATTTTATTTGGTTTTGCAAGAACTTGGATTTGCAGGGATTTGGAAAAAGGCTGAAGGAAGTCCGCAAAAGGTTTGACACGATGATGGAAAGGATCATAAAGGAGCATGAAGAGGTGAGGAAGATAAAGAAAGAAACTGGTGAAGGTGACTCAGAGAAGGATTTACTTGATATTTTACTTGATTTATCAGAAGATAGCTCAGAAATGAAATTGACCAGAGAAAATATCAAGGCGTTCATCCTGGTAAAGTCTATCAGCCACAAAGTTTTACTCAATACCAGTCCCTAGTTCCCATAAAGTTAAATTCTATGAAAGAAATCAATCTTAAGAATTTATGGATTTGATAATGATGAAGTAAACTGAAATTCCCCAACCATCAATATTTAGATAAAAAAAATTTACAATTTCCCTGTCCCAAAATAGAGTTCTGGGCAAGATCATGCCTAAAATAATGTTGTTTTGAAAAAAAAAAAGAAGGTTTTTTGACCTGCCAAGACGTTCTTATAAACAGGTTTTGATCAAATTTGTTCTTATGCAATATCATGACATAAAATCAGAAATAGATATAAAAACGCAAATTTCTGCATTGCACAGGACGTATTCGTGGCGGGGACAGACACCTCTGCTGTTACCATGGAATGGGCACTAGCAGAGCTCATCAATAACCCAAACATCTTGGAGAGAGCAAGAGAAGAGATAGATTCTGTTGTAGGACAAAGCAGACTAGTACAAGAATCAGACATTGCTAACCTGCCCTACGTTCAAGCTATACTAAAGGAAACACTGAGGCTTCACCCCCCTGGTCCAATAATTCTGAGAGAATCAAGTGAAAGCTGCACCATCAATGGCTATGAAATTCCAGCAAGAACCAGGCTATTCGTTAACGTGTGGGCTATTAATAGAGACCCAAACTACTGGGAGAACCCACTTGAGTTCCAACCGGAAAGGTTTCTTTGCGCAGAAGAAAATGGAAGGAATCAGCTGGATGTGAGGGGTCAGCATTTTCACTTTCTTCCTTTTGGAAGTGGAAGAAGAGGGTGCCCCGGAACTACACTGGCACTTCAAATGGTTCAAACAGGCCTTGCTGCCATGATTCAATGCTTCGATTGGAAAGTTAATGGCACTGTTGACATGCAAGAAGGAACTGGTATAACACTTCCAAGGGCCCATCCCTTAATTTGTGTCCCAGTGGCAAGGTTCAATCCATTTCCATCGTTCTGATCATTTGCCATGGATAACAGGCTTGAATACATGGCATAAGAGGACAGCTATAAAGTGAGTCGAGCCAGCAACATTCAGACTTATGAAGGGGATTCTCAAATCTAATGTAATTGCAGTGATCGGACACACACTGAAAATCAAAATTAGGACCAAAAAAATAAATTGCCTCAGTACTTTTTTTCTTTTTCTTTTTTGAACTGTATGGGTGAACTACGTTGTTCACATATAAGGGTCTCTAGTATTATCTTGGCGCACACATAAAAACCATAGCTTTAGTACCTCAGTTTAGAAATATGCAGGTTATGAATTGAGATAGTTATATCTAGTTAATTCTATTTGTTTTTTAAAAATAAAATAACTTCGATAGTGGAATCACGGTTAAATCTAAGATCTCATCAAATTAAATCAAAATTTTATAATTAAAATAACAATTTTCTTAGATAAAAATATTTCTCATATAATTAACCCATTACAAAGCAAAATTAAGTATTCTTTCTTAAAAAAATAAAAATAAAAAATCATAAAATATTTTATTATTTATTAAGAATCATTTTAAGGTCAAACCTTAAAGATAACCCCTAGCTATATGGCTATGGCCGGACTTAGTTTTATTCTTAAAAAAATGTTTTATATTAATTTTGTTCTTTAAATTTTAAAAATCTCTAAACAAATTTATTAACTCATATTTAATCGTGAATTCCATCACAATTTATCTTTTTTATGCAATACATGAGTTATTTTGTAGGAAATTTAAAGTTTTTCTTTTAAGAAATTTTAATAATAGGCATCAATAAAATAATAAAAAGTCACTTGAAAAATAAATTGATATAAAAGTTAAAATAATATATTGGAACCTTATCCTCATAAGCATCATAGTCATCATCGTAAGCTTCACCAACAAAACGAAAACAAATCCGAAAGTAGATGGAAATGAGGTGCATGTCTAGCACATGGGACCGATCACACCCAGCTTTCATTCTCAGCCCATAGTTTCTCTCTCTCCCTCTTGTTTTTCAGCAATTTTGAACCACCCTATTCGAATGGCTCCCTCGATTCTCTAAAGATACTAAAGCTAAAGTCTCAATCAGGCAAATCAGTCTTTCCATTTGTGCTTGACCCCATTCCATCTTCTCGGTCTCTCTCCCTCTCGAACTCCTCTTTCTTTCTCTTAACTTCCTTGCAATGTCTTTGGGTTTTTGAATCTGATAATTATTTACTAATCTTTTCCCGTGTTTTTATCAGGTCTAAATTCTGTCTTTGTTCTTCAATTTTGATTTTTAATGAAAAGTTCTGGATAAAAATCCAATCTTTTCTCTCATGCTCGTTCATTGAAATTTGGCGAATACTTGAGAGAGTGCTGTGAATATAAACTCCTGTGATTATTTTAAATCAATCCAATTCTAATCACATTGTAATCTCAGTTTTTCTCTTCAAAATTATTGTTTACTCGGAAAAATAACTGCTGGGTTTCTTTTAAATTAATCTAATTTGGATTAAATTCTCATAAAGTTCATTCCTTTTGAGTGATCGCAATTCTGGGTTTCTCATCAAAACATGGTAACAGTCAATATAGGAATGCTTCATTATGTGATAGATCATATTTATGGAGCATTTATGCACAGAACCAAAATAAGCCCACCATTCTTTTCTAGAGGGTGGGGTGGTTCAAAGCTTGAGCTTTTAGAGAGAATGATTAAGGACTTATTCCCTGAAGTTGAAGGCCAAAAATGGCCTCCAAGTTTAATACAACCTATTTGGAGAACAGTTTGGGAGACCAGAAGTGCTTGTTTAAGAGAAGGTGTTTTTAGGACTACTTGTGATGAGCAGTTGATTAGTGCATTGCCTCCTGAGAGTCACACTGCAAGGGTTGCTTTTCTTGCACCCAAACATGTCCCACCACACAAGATGGCCTGTGTGGTTCACCTCGCAGGTAAAACGGTGTATCTTTGAATCTGCTTGAATTTGAATATAATAGCCAAGTCTTAGATCAAATCCCAGTTCTTAGTTGTGAGTGTATGTCAGTAAATTTAGATATTATTTTTATTTGGATTGCCGAAATTGTGAATTAGTGGTTTATATGTGGTTCATGGATTGTCCGTAAAGTTGGTTAAATGGTTGTTTTATAGTTTCAAGTCCAGTTTAATGCTTGTGTAAAAAATGTCTGGTTGATTGTAAATTGAATGGGTTTGCCTTTGTTGGCAGTGTGAAGAATGCACACGACCTCATTTCTGCGTTAATTTGATGGTTAGTAGGGAGTAGATGCTAAACCTTCATTCTGCAGGCACTGGGGACCATTCATTTGATCGGAGATTGCATCTTGGTGGACCATTATTGAAGGAAAATATTGCAACCATGGTGCTAGAGAGGTCAGAGTTAATCTTGTATTGTTAGTCAATCCAGTAAGGTAAATCTTTTTTATTGTATTGTGTAAGCTACAGATGCTGTATTTGATTTGAACATGGAATTTACAGCCCTTTCTATGGACGGAGACGACCCATGCTGCAGCATGGCGCAAAGCTCTTGTGTGTTAGTGACTTGCTTTTATTAGGTAGGACAACCATTGACGAGACACGCAGTCTTTTACATTGGTTAGACTCTGAGGCAGGGTTTGGAAAGATGGGCGTTTGTGGACTGAGCATGGGTAAGAACAATTTGGTTTTACAATTATTGGTTGAACTTAACCCTTCTTGGGGACCATTGAGAAGTAGACTGATTAAGTTGCTTAAAATCAACATATTAGTTTAGAATTCTGAAGGACATCAAACAATATCCAAGGTTTTTGTCCATTTTTCTCTTCAAAATCTTGATGCTCTTATTGAATCTAGGAGGAGTACATGCTGCAATGGTTGGATCACTGCACCCCACACCTGTTGCAACCCTTCCTTTTCTTTCTCCACACTCTGCTGTCGTGGCATTCTGTGAGGGCATATTGAGGTATGGCACTGCATGGGAGGCACTGAGAGAGGATCTTGCAGTGCACAAGCCTGCAATGACTCTCGAGGATGTGAGGGAACGGATGCGAAATGTGCTGTCTCTCACAGATGTCACGCGCTTTCCAATTCCCAAAAATCCCAATGCTGTAATATTTGTTGCTGCAACCGTAAGTATTGTATGATGATACTTTTTAAGAAAACTTGTGGAATCGGTGATTATCTCCTTGAGTCAATGATTATCTCCTTGAGTCAACCAATATTATATTTCTTGTTGGCATTGGTGTCGATTTCTTCACTTAGTATCGAATCATGTTTATCATGTCTATGTTCTTGCCAGTAAAACTACAAGTTATCATGCCAATTTATGCTCGTTTGGACAGCCAAACCTGTCATGCAAACATTGAACCAACAGATAAGAACTACTCAGACTATTTAGCTAATTTTTTGACTTGGATTTGAGGAAGTATTGCTACCTTAGATATTCATGCATTATTCCATTTCTGAGGCTCCTTCTTCTACTTTGTACAGTTTTCAAAAACCTTCCTGCTAAATCTAATATTAGTTGCTATCTTAATCAACTGCAATTATGTTTTTAGGATGATGGATACATACCAAAACACTCTGTTTTGGAGCTTCAAAAAGCTTGGCCAGGTTCAGAGGTGAGATGGGTTACTGGTGGACATGTCTCATCCTTTCTTCTGCACAATGATGAGTTTCGGAGAGCTATTATTGACGGGCTTAACAGATTAGAGTGGAAGGAGCCTCCATTTTGAAAGGGGTCACATATGTAGAAGACCAAAATAATTCTTTTTGGTAATCTTCTTCACCCGGAGTTCTTTCTAAACTCGTACAATGTATTACCGCTGATATCTTGGAGCATCCCCTGTAGAGAAGTAAAACTAGGGGGGCTTTTTAATTATTTGTTTCCTCTTAATTGTAGAAGGAATTTCACTGATTTAGGGAATAATATAAGTGATGTCATTGGAACTAAAAACAATAAAAATTCTGGATTAGTCACGGAAGATCGTTTATAGTTTGGTTATGGGTTCTGATTATGTTTTAACTATAAAATTGGTGGCAACTTCAATCGATGCTTTGGAAACTTGCAAGTGTGTGCATTTTCAATTCCAGCTTTTGCAAATTTGGGAAAGCGATGCATGTTAAATTATTTTAATACAGTCTTTGGACTTGGTGAAAAAACCCTGGCATTAAAATATGCAGCTTTTGAGTCAATTTGCACTCCTGGTTCCAGGATTTTGTGTAGTTCTTCTGGGACTTGCTCTCGAAGGCTGAAATGAGATGGTACTCGTCCCGCCAGGTCACAGGAGCTCCTCGCATAAAACCTGTTCTTATAAATCAGGCATCATATCATGAGCTCTAGTATACATTCTGACTAAACTAAGGTTCTCAAAAGACGGTGCGAAAAAAGAATTTGCAATCGTTGGAGCTGGCATTTTTTAGAGACCCCGAGTAGAAAGAAGTGGAGGAAGACGGAACTCCTAGCGTTTAGAAGTTCGTCTGATATTATCTATGAGTACATGGTAGCTCCAGCTGCAGCCTGTAAACTCTGGCATTTTGGACCTTCTGTTGAGGAGCTGGAAAAGCAGCTATAAGAATGTTTGGCAGTCTCCCCCATCTCCATGGAATCATTGAAAGGAAATGTCAGGGTACAAACACTGCCTTGCCCCATGTCTCCTAGGCCTTGTATTGGTTTATTTAACTGATAATTGTGAATTGGAGAAAAGAAAGAAAAAGATACTTAAAAAAAAATAAAAATGCATACCACTTCAAGTTACATATACGTGGCAAATCCATCCTCCGAGCATCTTCTCCACTGATATGCTATTTTAAAAAATAAAATAACATTTTGAATAATATAAATATAGGTTTTTTTTTTACAATGTATATACCAATAGAAAAAAAAATCATTTAAAAAGTTAACTGTATTGAAATGAAATAAATAAGTGTTTTATTTCTTTTTAATGATTTCAATGTATTTTTTTTTTAAGTTGCTACATTTAATTGATTTTTTTTATTGTTATCGCTATTGGTTTTAGCTTTTGTAAGAGATATATAAGAATAAAAAGAGGAAATGCACTGTAGTAATTTATTTAACTTCCCCTTGAGCATGAAAAACAAGTAAAGAAAAACTAAAATATTATTTTTTTATTTTTGATTCTTCATTTAGCACCTGAGTAGGAGTTGCCCTCAGGCCACTGCCTATTTGCAGCTTGCCAGTGGAGCGCCGCACAAGCACCTATTATGGAAATATGCGGTGTAATCTAAGGTCTGTAATTTACCACCTTGGGGAATCTGACCGCAAAGCCTGTTGTAACTCACGTTCAAGGATAGGTAATTTAACTGAGTCATCTGAGTAGGAATGCTCCCGAAAATCTTGTTGTGATTAACATCCAAATATGTCAAAGTGTTGGGAAACACCGCCTTTGAAAGATTAAACTCCAGCAAATTCCTGGAGAGATCCACACTTCCACTAGTTTTGTTTGGCCCAAAAAGCATGGAAGCATCACCTTCAAGTTTGTTGCGTGAGAAATCAATCAAACGAAAGTTTGTGTTGTCTAATGAAGCAGGGATTTTACCAGAAAGTTGGTTATGAGACAGGGAAATACCCGGTACCCTGCCTGCAAAGTTGCCGAATGATTCTGGGATAGGACCAGTAAGATTATTCCTATCCAATTCAAGAATATCAATTTCCGGCAGCGAAGCGAGTGAACTTGGTATTGATCCTGAGAGGCTGTTGAAAGACAGGACCAATACTCTCAGATTCTTGAGTTTGCTAAGAGAGTCAGGTACTGGGCCAGTGAGGTTGAGGTCGCTAAGTCTGAGTGAAATGAGATGTATGAGATTGGAAATGGAGGGCGGTATCGGGCCGGTAATATTTGTCAGCTTGTGGAACTCAAGGGTCTCGAGATAGGGCATGTCCCCAACTTCAGCAGGGATTTCACCAGAAAGGTCGCCAGAAAAGATTCTTAGGGAAACAATGCGGTTGGTGGTAGCGTCACACTCCACCTGGTTCCAAGATGTGCAGCAGTCCGTGTCCGATAGCCATGAGGCTAGGAGGTAAGGATCACCAAAATGGTTTTTAATTTGGAGGAGAACTTGTTTATCATGGGGATTGCAAAGTTCTGAAAAGGAGAGTGAAAGGAGATTGAGAACAAGTAAGGAGATGAAGAGGGCTTTCATGGTTGGGAAATCTAACAGCTATTTTCTGTTTTGTGAGAAATGATATGCTCCAGGGTTGCTATGTATAAGGGAGGATAGGGGCAGCATGTGAGGCATTATTGTCTTGGCTGGTCATCAAGTTCATTGTTGAAAGTGAGAGCTCAAATGGATGCATCCTTTGACTTGGATTTTCTGGCAACAGATCGAGTGAGAGTGCAGCAGCCATCGAGCTGCTAAAGAAATGAATTTTTTATTTTTTTGACATTGTATAGTGATTAAGGATAGGACAGGGAAGACCCTTAATAGCACTACATTCATACACTATTCCCCCCAACTCTGGAGTTTTGGTATCCGACTTCTCCTTCGATGCTTAGCTTTATGTTTAGCAATGAAATATTATATTATAAAAAAAAAAAGGGGGGGTTGGAAAAACACTCTGCGCATAGACACGGACGGTCCTTTTCTTTTCTTTACAAATCTTTAATGGATATTACCGTGTCAGTTTGCCACTATACAAGGCTATATTCAGCAAATTTAGACTGGTTGACTGGTCAATTGCGATGGCATTGTTTCTTATCTCGCATGAGCTGGATCTCAAATTCTAGATTTTTTAAAGAGAAGAGTTGGGATATCAGAAAAACAGTTTAAATAAAAATGGTTATTCTGAAACATGGTTCTTTAACAATTGTAATCTATAATAGCGGATTTATAAAAGAATTATGATTCTATTTGTGTTTATATATAAATATATTTTTTTTTTTCCCCTCGCTTTTGAAAAAAAAAAAACTCTAGAATATGAAAAAAAACCTAAGATAAAATAGCCTTAAATCACCCAAAATACTGTCTAATTCTTCATCAAAATACAAGAATTATTTTACCGTTGTCTTTATAAGTATTTCTACTATTTTATTATTGTAAATTATCAGTCAAGCTTGGGTGTTCAACCAAACCACCATCATAATCATCAACATGGATAGCCTTATATGTATTATTATATTGTGTATAATTATATTATGTTACTTTTCTAGTTAAGAATTATCTTTATTATTACTAGTTTTATAATATTGCTTTTGTTAATTGTCATATTAATTTTGAAGTTATTTTATATATTATGCATTTTTACATTTGGTTTATCTCAGCATGATTTAATATTATAAATAAATAAATAAATTTATTGTTTAAAATTTCAAATTATTCATTAATAACTTAAAAAATGCACGAATAAAAATAATATTTTAAAAACATACATTAATTTGGGATTATAATTAACAAATAAAAATAATGTTAAAATATTATATTTTAATTTATGAGTTTAAGATTTTATAATTTATGGTTTTGTTTAGCTTTTGATATAGTGGTTTTGATTTAGTTTTGTATGGAAATTGAATTTGAGATACAACCTCTCGCTATTCTCATTAGCAATTCTAAACAATCACTAATAATAATAATAATAATAATAATTGTTTAATAAAACTAGGTTTTTTTAAGAATATTAAGTTAAAATTGTGTTATTTTTAAATATTTTTAATTTTTATATTATTTTTTTTAAAAAAAATTATCATATTATGCTAGTTTAATAAAAAAACACAAGTAAAAATAAAAGAAAATATGTTATATTTAAAGAGGCCAAATACAATTCAATATACCCGTTAACAACTATTAATATACTTGGTAACATTATTCTTCTTTGCCAATAAAATATTAATATTATTGAATCATGATATCTTTCCCTCCTCCTACATTTACAGTAACAACATTCTCCATGCAAGAAAAGGAAGCAAGATAAGCATGAGGATTCTAAAGTTAGTCGAGGTGCAAGGAATTATGGCGTTGTTATTTTTTAAAATAATTTTTATTTAAAAATATATTAAAATAATATTTTTTAAAATTTTTTAAAAATTATTTTTATATAAAAAAATCAAAAAAATTTAGAATATAAAATATTAATATTAATTTTTTTTTTTAAAAATACTATTTTAAATGCAATTCCAAACATCCCTTCAAGGAGGCTGCGATCCAGCAACATTTGAATTATTAATTTGGAAGTGTCTATTCACCTGATTTATTTAATATTAGTAGTAGCAGTAATTAGTAATACGTAATCAAAGTGGCAGCAATTTAGTAACATTGGAATTGTTATTCTGTAAAAAAAAAAAAACCGGTTTTTTCTATTCAGTTTTTCTCCAAACCAAGAAATGTTAATTATTAGGGCCTCGCTAAGCTCATTTTTTTTTTACTTTGATTTTTTTTTTCTGATTTTAGGTTTTCTAGAAGGCTCTGAGATTTTCACTGAGGAAATTATATTTAGGGTTTATGGATTTTACTATATAATATTAATCAGTTTAATTTGATTCTTTGCCTTTTTTTAATATAGTGAAAACAAATTGAATGTTAAGTTGGGGGATTCAGGCTCATCATAAATGCAATTGGACTCTTCCTCTCTCTCTCTTTTTTTTCCTTGATGTCCCCGTTTATATGATTATGTATATATTTTAGTGGTAGATAGTATTTTTTTTTCTTTAATTATTATGGTGCTGCTTTGAAGTGAAAATCTTGCAACAGAATCTGGATTTCTTTTTCTCATTTCGCCAGCTGTGCAAAGCCTAAAATTGAAATTATATATATATATATATATAATTTTCCTTTTCCTTACTAGAGGCAGATGGCCAATATTATGTCTAATGTATTGGAATATTAAAATTAACAAAAAAAAGTATATTAACAAAAATAATAAAAAAGACTTGGAATACAATGGATGTTGATTCCTATTGGCTAATTTTAGGCTCAGAACCTCTCCACCACTGAGTAATCAAGTAAGCTAACTAACATCATCATGAACACAACTTTTCATGGTATAAAAAAATTAATTATGAATGTTATAGTTGATTCTCATATTGCCTAGTGTTCTAGAGTTTTTATTTAATTTAATCTATCTTTTCATTTAGCCTAGTAGGTTCCTAAGTAAAGCAGAGAACATTTTTCAAATAGATACTGATCTTGAACACAATTTAATTTAGTTTTTGGTGGATTTAACAGGTTTTAACTTCACTTAGGACCCGTGATTTTTCAATATTTTCTATGAGACTGAACTGGGAAACTTTAAGTTACAGATGAGGCACTGTCTAGCTTCCAAGAATTCTTTTTTAAAGAATGACGCAGTTGGAAGTTAGTTTTGAAGAATGAAACAATTTGAAAAAGTTTTAGAAAAATAATATAGTTTTAGAAAAACTACTGTTCTAAATTATATTTTTTATATAGCTGCTATTTTGAATCACGGTTTTAATATTGGATTTGTTCTTCTGTAAACATAGTTGGTACTTTCTGTTCGCAGTTATTTGCGGCCATGGAATTATGATTCTACTGCATATGGTCCGTGGGAGGCCAAGACATGTCCCTTATAGTAGCCTTCCCTGTCCTTTTTTTCATGGGCTAACAAACAACAGTATGCTTGACAGAAAGAAACAGCAATCCCAAGAAATAAAGAAAAGAAAAGAAAAGAAACGCAGGGCCACTTTAAAGGAGATGAAGAAAATAAAAGTGAATGCACTAATCCAGTCATTTACAACACCGCGCACCCATGCCGATCGTAGTATTGTCAACCTTTCTTTAAACCCCTGGTGCGCTCTCAATAATTGCAGGCTTGACGGTTTAGATTCAAATGGTTTGTACGTTACTCCATTTCCTAAGCAGGATAAAATATGCAATGCACGAGAAGGTGATTCTTGATTATTTCCAGAACTATTGGCGAGTTCTGTCTCGGCATACCAGAAATATAAAAGCTGCGCACTAGATCGTAAATCCTGCACCCAAAATCAGAAGAAACTTAGTACTATTTTATTTTTCCAATACCTTTCTATCTTGAGCTATATCCTGATTTTCTGATGGTCTGCCGTGAACCCAGATGGAAGAAAAGCTGAAATCAGAAGTCACCGATTCATGTCGCCGCATTCTATGCTATGTTGCCATTACATCCAATATTCAAATAATGACTGGAAGTGAAAACCAATTTATTTTGGATCATATTGCCACTTATCATATTCTGTCTTTGTTGATATTATTCTTACACAAGAATCCAGTTTTGGACCAAACAAAGGATGGAAAACATAGCTAAAATTGTCGGAACCAGAGGGATATTAATGGAATGGATTATCATGGGCATAGTTGTTAGAACAGCTCAGTTTGGCAAATTGATTTGAGAAATCCGTGACTCGAGGTTGATTTAAATGAGGTTTTTTAAGTTGAATAAAAATAAGATTTTAATTCGATGAAGTCTAATTAACTCTCCTAGATTGAATCGTGAACTCATTGATTCAGTTAAATCTAACCAGTGAATTTTAAGAATTTTTCTTATAACTTGCGAGTTGACTCGATGTCATAGTAATTCATTTTCTTTTCTAGATATGTTCCCGAACCGGTTTAAATCTGACAAAAACTTATTTATGTTCGGAAGACCTTTACTTTTGAAATTATGTTTAGGAATTTCCATTGGGTTTCTCAGAGTTTGGGCCCATAACATGACATGAAAACCATCGCTCGGCTTATTTTAACACTGTTGGCCCAACCTATTATTAAATATATTCAAATTAATCAGCTGGAACGCCGATGTAAATTTTTTTAAAAAGGGTGTTTTTTACGGTTAAAAAATAATTTTATTTTTTTAATTTTAAATTATTATTTTTATATTTTTAAATAGTTTTAAAAAGAAACCCTTTGTAAACGATTTCTTCCAGCAGAGGAGCGACATGGCGGTAAACCAAGACGCGGGAAAACCTTGAGATGCTGCTGCTCGGAAGAATCTCTTTCATAATTAGGTAAATATATCATTAATGTTAGCACAGCCCTAGAGCCCAAATTTGTTATAATCATTCATCCATGAAATAACATATTACAGTATAAGTCACAAAGTAAGAACTCGAGTAAAAGTAATGGAAAGCATGCATTGTTTATAGAACAAATTTGCTGTTTGGTGTTCCTACAATATTTTCATACGTATTATTGATGCAAAAAGATTATGGAAAACTTTGCAGGCCGTTTCATGCAAATTGGTGTTACTACAATATTTTCATACGTATTAACAGACTCATTATGCCATATGATCCAATCTATCAAAACAATATCAAGAAAATCAAGAAAAAAAAAGAATTATTCAGATGGGTTTTTAACCAACCTAATTTGGAAACAAAAGGAAACTCTAAAATAGCTAGGAAAATAAAGAAAAAAAATCTAAAATTATCAAGGAAAATACTAAAAATTAAAGATCAATATTTTTTAGGTATAATTTGAGTACCTTCGCAACCTTAGGTTAAATTTATGTTTGGAGTACCTTTACTTCATGATTTTTTCTATTAATAAATTGTGGGAGTGAAGGGTATGGAGATAAGGCAAGTCCCTAGATACATGTGTGTGAAGTTTCTTATATTATGCTGAATTATACATCAACTTCTACCAAAAGCACAAAATAAATGCATCTGCTCAAAGATAATACTAACACAAAACGCTATTTTTTTTTTTCACATCCTGATGTGAATTTGGCTCCTCTCGTAGGCTGAACCCAACATCAGGATGCAACACATGAAAGCACTGCATCAGACGTTAAAAACAAAAGATCATATTGTATAAGAAAGTGACAGAAGAGGCAATTTGTTTTTTACGTTTGCTAAAACAGAACAAACAAAAGCAAAAAGATGTCGAAAAAATCTCTCTCATAGCACAGGAAACCAGAAGCTTGACATACCAAAATACCCATCTTCTAATCAGTCAATCTCATCACATGCTGCATCATCATCATCATCATCAGCAGCAGCAGCAGCAGAAGCAGTAGCAGAAGCGTCATTATATGCACCAGAAATCACAGTTTTGATATTTTCCAATTCCATCTCCAACTTCAGGTTCTTTTCCTTCTCAAGGTCCAACTCCCTCGTCAGATTCTCAATCCTTTGCACCAATTGTTCCTCTCCATCAGCCTCCCCGCCCAACAGAACAATCATTCTTGCTACTTGCCTTCTCTGCTCATCCAAATTCCTCTTTGATGCCATTAAACCCTCTAACACTGTCACTTGATTAAAGTCCTCAACGATTCCTTCTATTCCGCTCATGTTTTCACCAGTATGATCCTCCACTGGACCCTCCAAGTCACTTGACCCGATAGACGACACACTGAACCCAATGTTCGTGTCCGGAATGATTGTTTCACCCCCAAAACGAACCACTTTCACAACTGAATCATCTTCTGAATCACTACTGAATTCCGGGACAAGATTGAATTCATACTCATTTAGTTTCCAACCACTGATCCATCTAGTCTTCTCACTTGGACCAACTGATTCAGGACGCTCTTCTTCTTCTTCAACATCAGTGCCAGCAGTAATCTGGCTTGGTGTCCCTTGTAAAGCCTTGAGTTCTTTGAATGTTTCTTCAACATTAGGTAACCCATCGAAAACCTTCTTGAACAAAAAGTCTAATCCTCTACAGTTCTTGAAGAAAGAATACTCTAAAAGCTGATCAGCAGAAGGTCTCTTTGAAGGGTCTTGCTCAAGACAAGAAGCAACCATTTCTTTAAATTCTTTAGAGAACTTCTTGTTCTGATCAAGACAAGAAGCAACCATATCTTTAAATTCTTTAGAGAACTTCTTGTCCTTGAAATCTTTCTTGTACTTCTCGTCATGATAATTAGAGAACCCAAGCCTCTTCTTTATCTTCATGATCAAAGACTTCGATGGAGGAAGGTCAGAGAAAGGAGGTCGACCATAGGCTATTTCCAATGCAGTAATACCAAAAGACCATATATCAGCCTCGAGACTATAACCTGCATCTAAGTCATGTATAACCTCTGGTGCCATCCAATATGGGGTCCCTGCAACATCAGTCAACCTCATTCTTGATGAAGGGGACAACGGGGATGATCCCACAGCGCATCTTAAGTCGTAAATCGAGACCGATTTGCCACGATCTGCAAGTTTTATGCTACCATTTTCTGTGTCTATAAGAATGTTGCCCGCCTTGATATCTGTGTGTAAACGGCCTTGATCATGAATATAACACAATCCCTGGAGGGTTTCTTTGAGAATTATTGCGATGCTTGGCTCTGGTAGTCCGTCGGGGAAGTAAGAAGAGATTATAGGCTGGAGAGAGCCAGCAGCCATGTAAGGCATAACCACCCAAAGATAGCTATCAACGACAAAAGAACGATGGGATGCAAGAACGTTAGGGTGTGAATGAAGTAACATGGTTTTGGTTTCACGTCTGAGACAATCAAAATCGGCTGGATATTGCTCAAGATCAAAGATTCTGATTGCAACCAAAGTTGACTTCGAGATGTTGTGGATACATATTGCTTTGTGAACTTTGGCGCTAGCACCTGTACCGCCAATCTCATCCAAGAGTCTGTATGCATTTTGGTCTGTTGGGTACTGAAGTTGAGCTTCGGATTCTTGATCTAGTTCATCTGCCATGGATGATGCTTATTATGGTTTGATCTTGATCTTCAATGGGTTTAATTCGAGAGAATTTGTTGGTTTCTTGAATAGGGTTATGGAGTGTTAGGAAGTTTTCTTGATAAGGAGGATAGTTTGTTTTGGAAAAAGAAAGAAAGTAGGTAATTTGCAGGGTGGTTTTCTGGCGAAGTCTCAGGTTCGAAAGGGAGAGATAGTGGGGTGATCAATCTTTGAGAAATGAGAGTGCGAGCATGCATGGCATGAGAAATGCAAGAGTGCTTTTTATACCGTTTGAGCAATTCGAGCCTCTGCTGGGCTTCTTGTGCCTCATGGTTTGGGCTTTTCTCTCTCTCTTGATATATATATATATATATATATATATATATATATATAAAGCTTTTAACAAATGATGCATTTTTTAAAGTTTGTTTAAGTTTTTGTGTAAGATATAAATCATTCCAGGTTATGCCAATGGTTCCAATAACCTGGACTCATCACATATTCTTGGACTCATCACATAGTCTTGGTCAAGAGTGAGTAAAAAAATTCAAAAATTAATTAAATTAAAAAATTATAAAAACTAAACTATGAAAAACCAATTAAATTAATTAAAATTTAAAAAATAAACCTAACCAAACCGAATCGAAACTGAAAAAACAGGAAAAATACTGAGCCAGACCGGAAAAAAAACTTAGTCAAACTGAAAAAACCAAGCCAAATTGTAAAACCAAATCAAACCTATTTGAATCGATTTTTATCTAAAAAACAAACTGAAACTAGTTAGTTTAAACCAGTTTTAGTTTTTTTTAAAAAATAATTTGATTATTTTTTTATAAAAATCAAACAAAACAAAAAATAATTACCTCTCTAATTTTGATAGAGTACATCAAGAACAAAGTACTCCTAAGCTATGCTGGTAAGGCTAATTTTCTTTTATCTAATATAAAAAATGATGTTCAAATGGTACTTGAAGAAGTATTAAGATTTCACAATTTAATTAAAACTCCAAGGCTAAATTAGTTATTTGTATTTTTTAACAATAAAATTACTTATTTAATCTAATGATAAAAAAATATCTTTAGATTAGAAGCATCTTACTCTTTTTAATTTTTTTAGAATAATCAAATTACTTTATTACCCTTGAAAACAAATTCAACTAAACTCTCCTATAAGGGCTTTTTCATCCTTTTATCATGGTGTTTTTTTTTTTCATTATCAAGATCACCCAAAGGTATTATTGTTTATATATTAAATATTATTAAAAAAATTTAGTTGCATATTCGTAACACTCTGGCAAATGGCTAGTCTCCGCACCATTCAAATGGCACGTGTGGGGACTTTTGTGACAATGTTGTAAAGGTTTTAACATCTTCATAATAGTACGACGCATGAGCCAAATACGTTTGCAGTTTTGGCATTGTCTACCATTTCTTTTTTCTTTTTTTTCTCTTTCCATCTCAATTTTCATGCCAACCCCTTTAAAACTTCATAATATCCCCTTCAATATTTTTTCCTTTACATTTGGTTCTTATTCTTTTAATTAATATTTTTTTTATTTTAAATAATCTATAAAATTAAAAAAAAATTAATTTCACCTCCTTCAATTTTTTTCCTTTCAAATTTGATCTCTATGATTTTGATCGTTATTTGTTTTGTTTCAGATCATTTTTCAATTTTTGTTTTTATAATTTCATTCTTTTTAGTTTTTCTCCTATCAAATTTGATTCTCATTCTTTGTATTTTTTTTTAAACTTTGGTAAGATTTTTAAGTTGATATTTTTTCATGATTTTATTTTTCATCATTATATTGGTTGAGAATTAAATTTCTTAATTAAACCATGATCTAGGATTTCATAGGTTGTGTTTTCTAGAGATTAGATTATGTTTTAGAGGTTAACGTGTATGTTTACTTGGTTTTTATTTTTCTTTGTTTAAGTTGTTTTTTTTTAATTTTCATCCTTCAAAGTTTGTTCATTTAGAGACTAGTTCTATTTTTTTATTTATTCGCTTTTTATATAATTTTTATTGGTCTAAAAAACAACCCCGATTATCATGAGTCTTTTTATTTTTCATTCTATGTTAGTTTTTTTTTTTGTAATTCTTTAAATTAATTTTTTTATTCCATCCTTCAATATTTGGAATAATATTTTTAAACAATTTATGGAATTAGAACTCTTTTTTAATTTCACCCCACTTTAAGTTTTTAATCATTCAAATTTAGTTCTTATTATTTTTATTACTGTTTGGTTTATTTGAGATAATTTATTTTTTACAATTTCATCCTCATTGAGTCTTTTTTCCTGAGAAATTCAATTTTATTTTTTTATTACTATTTTTTTCATTGGAAAAAATTTTAAATTGATAATTTTTTTATTTCATCATTTGATATTAGATTGATTGAAGATTGAATTTCTTGAGTTAACTCTAATCTATGATTTCACGAGTTTTGAGTTTTAGAAATTAAATCAGATTTAAAAAGTTTGTCTAATTTTGCTTGATTTTATCGCTTGTATTTAAATTTATATTTTTTAAGTTTTATCATTCAATATTTATTCACTAGAATGTTTGGTTTTTTTTTATGTAGGATTTTTCACTAATTTAAAAATAAACCTTGTTTTCTCGAGTCTTTTTATTTATTGTCCTTTGTTATATTTACTTTGTCTTATAAACATTAAATATTGTAAAAAATAGAACTTATTGATTCATCATGAATTTAGGATTTAATTGGTTACAAGTTTAGAACTTTAGCCCAGATTTAAAAGATTTACTAAGGTTTGCTTATTTTTTTTAAAGCTGATTTGTTTTTTAAATTTTTATTATTTATCATTTATATCATTAGTGATTAGACTTTGTTTTTATATATTTTTTTAAATTTTATTATTTATTATTTATATCATTAACGATGAAACTAAACTTCTTCTTCTTCTTTTTTTTTATCTTATTTGTCTTTTATATGATTTTTTTTGTGATTTTTTTAAAAAATATAGGTCACCTTGAAATTTTTTGTTTGTTGTTTTTGATTGGATTTATTTTAAAAAATTTATTAAATAAATTGAATCAGATATTTTGAGCAGATCCCTAGCAATAAGTGGACTCGTTAGCTAGTTAAGTCAGTCCTATCCAAATATTTCTTAATAAAAAGATAATTTATTATAGTTATTTTTAAGATAATTTAAGTAGACATATATTTTTTTTTAATAATAGTATAGAAACTATAAATAACCTGACAGTTATTTTTTTAATTCTATACTTTCATTATTTTTACAAACAAATTATTATATTGATTATTTTCATTAACGAATTCTATTTACTTTTAAAATAAATTTCTTACATAATATATAAAAAAATTAAAAAAATTAGCATATCCATCATGTATCATATTTTAATTTTTTTAGAACGGTTGCATCGTTATGTTTGTATCATTGATTTTAATTAAATAAAAATAATTAAATTAAAAAAATATTAATATTAATGATGCCAACATTATAAATCACAATAGTTGGAATTCTAGAAAATCTAAATAATCTAAAAATAAAATTTTCAGATTAAATAATTAATTAATCTATTGATCATAACAATCTTATTTATTCTCAGTAGTAAAGATGATTTATAGCTTATATTAGTTACTTGGTAAATAAGATGACTTGTTATTATTACTTATCAAAAATTATCTTTAATAAAGATATGAATTCTCCGATGATTAAATATATATGCAATAAAAAATAAAAATTATGAATTTTTATTATAAAAGTCTTGTGGTGTATTTATAACCCCATAAGTCTTGTTTTTTTATGAAGATGAGGATTTAAAATTTCATTTTATCTTAATAATATTTAATGAGAGATAAATATTCCTTACATCTGTATTAATATTTGATGAAAATATTATAAGTTCTTGAAAGATAATTGAGTTCTTCCATTATGATAGACTCAAGGGAGGTGGGTCTTTCTATTGATGAGCCTAAAAAAAACTCAACTTGTTTTTTAGATGAGTCCAACGAAGTCTAAGTTTGTTTCTTAAATGTGCTGTGCCTAAAACTTGGTATATTATCGAGCCCAATTATTATTGGTTCTACCATTTCGTGTTTTTATTGGAATGTGTTTATGTTCCAGAAAATTCATATTTATAAATTTTTTTAATTTAATATTTTTTTTGGTAAAAATATATTAATAAAAACTTGATTCATGAATAATCTTTTCTGATGAGACACTTGAGAGTCTGTCTTGCAGTTCATTACAGAAGCGCTAAGTTGAGAACTGCTATAAATTAGTCTTGGGGTCTTGTTGGAATCCAAAACTTTGACACTTAGTCTCTAAAAATTTTGTTAGCATTGTCAATTATTGGTTTTTGTAAGATAGCGTAATGCAAGATTCAAAGTTCTGTGGATTCAATGTACTTAAATTAAAACGAAAAGAAATTGAAAACAGAGATAATAATAGATATTGCTTATCCTTGATTGATCTTATTTTCTCAATACATGTTGCTTTCAGAAATTTTGCAAATCCTTATTCACACAGGAAAATGCTTCCTTTTCCAATGTCCTATTTGCAGTTTTCAAGGGGAACCCCGCACAAGCACCTATTATGGAAATATGTGGAGTAATCAAAGCTCTGCAGCTTACCACCTACAGGAATCTGGCCACACAGCCTGTTGTAACTCATGTTCAGGGACTGCAAAGGTATCTGAGTCATTTGTGGAGGTATGCTTCCGAAAATCTTGTTGTGACTAATGTCCAGATTTCGCAAGCCACTTGGAAACGCCACATTTGACAAATTGAATTTCAATATATTCCTAGAGAGATCCACATCTCGAGTAGTTTTGTTCAGCCCAAATAGCATGGAAGCATCACCAACAAGCTTGTTGCGTGATAAATCAATGACGCTGAAGTCCATGTTCCCTAATGATGCAGGGATTTCACCAGTAAGTTGGTTGTGAGACAGGTAAAGATACGGTACGCTGCCTTTAAATGTCCCAAATGATTCTGGGATTGAACCTGTCAGCCTGTTCCTGTCCAAGTGAAGAGCATGAAGATTTGGCAGCAAAGCTAGTGAGCTCGGTA